GGGGTCCGAACGCCTCCCCCCCTCCTCCCACCGTGGGGTTGGGAGGCTGAGAAAAGGACGAGGAGGAGGAGGAGGAGGAAAAGCCCCGGTGCGGCCCCATGACATCGCGAAAGAGGGGCATCCCCCTCCCCGACAGGACGTTCTGGGTGGGAACAATCCGCACGCGCTGGCCTTGGTGCAGGGGCGCCGCGAGGCGACGGGCCAGAAGGGCACGACACCTCATGGCGGCCTTTTTGCCTTTTCCGTATTCCTACAAAAAGACCGAGACGGCTATCCCAACCTAACAATAACCCCGAATTGGAATCCTACTGACGAGAAGCAAACCTTGATCTAACAGGGAGAGAATACAGAGGTGAGAAAGGATCGCATGCTTTCGGAAGGCAGCCACACGTGGTCATTTCAGAGATTTTAAAAGGGCTTATAACTTACTAAATGAAAACAAAAGAACGCTGAAGGGGGCCTCCCTCACGTGCTATCATCTGGACAAGAACGAACCATGGTGGTCTTCTGGAAATAAATAAGATCCGCCTGCGTGTTGAGAGTGCATTCACGCCATTGACTCACCGCGATGTTCTTTTATTGATAGCATCACGAAATAAATAGTTAGACAAAAGATCAAAACGAAAGAAAATCATACCGCAGAGGGGTATGAAAAAAGAGGAGAAAATAACAAAGCGAGCGCTCTATGGATATAGGATGGCCAGTACCTATGTTTGAGCAGAAAATGAGTGAGTTAAAAAAGTGAGAAAGTGAGAAAAAAGAGGGTCATCGGCTTCACCCAAACTGGTATAGCCGTGTGGAGCCTGTTTTCCTAAAAGCAGCCGATATTGATAATGAACTCTAGTTTTGCACTATCAATTGAAGTGATAAAAACAAAATCTGTGAAGTGATCCCCTCCCCCTCCTTCCCAAAAGGACGGAGAGTGACCTTTTATCTGAAACCCAATGAGTCCCTATGGAACCAAACAAGAGCCCATGGGGAATCCATCCATTCCGACTCCAGCGCTGGAAATGAAGGGGTTTGTCATCGAGATCGATCGCGCGCCTTATAAAAACCAGAGTCTTTCGCGCAACGGAGACGGAATCATCTCGGATTCGAGCTGCGGGACGGCGTCGAGCAGGCGCTCCGCGCAGTCCGCCAGGCGGTGGGCGCAGCGGGTGGACATAGGGAGTTTGGTAGGCCGCGTCGTCATGACGTTGGCGAGGACGTTGGCGAGCTGCTGGACCTCGCTGAGCTCCAGCGTCTGGCTGAGGTGGTGGACGGTGTACTTGACGATCCGCGCGGTCGACATCTCCCCGTCGTGGGCCTGCAGGTAGAAGCTGGGGGCGGCCACCGCGTAGTCCAGCGCGACCGGCGCGAGGGCGGGGATGAGAACCCCCTTGACGATGTTATTGCAGGCTCGGAGGCCGTCCGCGGCGGTGTTGTTGTCCGCGCCGGGGCGCTTGTGGATGAAGCGGATGTTGGTGCGCTTGTGCAGGCAGAGGAAGGTGAGGCCGCAGCGCGGCAGGCAGGCGTCGATGAGGTCCTTGATCTTGCCGAGCTCGCTGAGGACGTCGCCGTCCTGGAAGATGACGACCTCGTCGACCCCCCCGGCGAGCGCGGTGGCCTCGGCGAGGAGGCGGCGGAGCTGCTCGGCGAGCTGGGCGACCTCCTCGCCGCGGGCGCGGTGGCGCCAGAAGCCCGCGAGCAGCCGGTGC